CCATGGCCGTCTTCCTTAGACGGCCAAGACTATTTTTTTTAATTATTATTATTCTTATTATTATTATTTTAATTAATTTATAATAAATAATTTTTTTAATAAAAAATATTTTTTTTAATTATTATTATATTTTAATTAATTTATAATATATAATATTTTTAATAACAAATAAAATAAGTACATGTGTCAACACCGTATGCATTTAACCTGATAAACAAGTCAACCTGGACTTAATTGAACAATTTTACAGGTTTAGGGGACTTGAATTGAGTTTTTTTCACTTAGAGGACCTAATTGCACTATCCACTCCACTTAGGGAGCTAATTTAACACTTTTCCCAAATGAATAAAGAAAATGTACAAATATGCCATTGAACTATTTAAGGGATAGCAATTAAGTTATCAAATTTAAATAAGCTCTAAATTTATCTATGAACATGTAAAAAAAAAATAGTAATTAACATTTTTAGTAGGTTAACAACATGTTTGTGTTGATTGGGATGTCATGTGTATTTATATTTTATTTTCTTGTTATTCTACTTGGACTATATGTAAGCAGTTGACCCTTTAAAGTCAAAATTTAAAACCCTAATTTCCTTTTTTCCTATTTTCTTTTCGGATATTCATTCGCGTTTGCAACTATCGCTTCTCCTTTTATCTCTTTCGTGATTGGTTGCAGTATTTTTGAATCAGGAAAAATACTATATGCGTGTAACAACAGGTTTGCGCTTTTATCAGGTTTGCTGCGTATACTTAAAAGTTTGATTAACATTTGATATCAAGAGCCTATTTGTAAATTGATTAATCATTAAAATTAGGATTCTTGATATTTGGGGATTTTTAATTATAAGGTTCTATTAATTATGGATTTGCCGAAATTGATCGACATTTAGAATCAATGAAATTAATCAAATGGTCGCCCAGGAGAGAATTGAGAACCATCCAACGCGCGTCATGTGTTCTTTGGTGCATGTAAATGTGCAAGTAGTTGGTGCACCTTTGCAAGTAAAAAGTGCAGGTAAAATCACTTACAAATGCATCTACTTTTACCTACAACTGCATGTAATTTTGCCTTGTTAACATTCAATCTGAGTTCGTTCGATTTAGCATCGCTTTTGTTTTTGCAGAGGAGTTCAGCGGGTAGTTAATACCCATGAAAATCACCCACAAACATTCATGCACCTAGGTGACCTACTTATAATTATAGGTACACCTAGTTATAACTATAGGTGCACCTAAATCTGGACACGTGGCGCATGTTGGATTGTTCTTAGTTTTCTCTTAGGCGGACAGTTCGCACCTGAACATGATCCTCTCTATATATATATATATATTGTCATGCTTTCCTTGGAATCAAAAATCACAAAGGGAATAATTTTTTTTTGAGGTTCCGGCACCACCACTGGATCTTTGAATTCTCCTGCTTCTGACTTTCTGGAAAAGAACCTAGTGGGTGGAACAATCAATTAAAAATCTAAATACTAATTTAGGCAATGCATTAAACCACCTATGCTCGCACCTAATGTTTTTATTACATATTTATATATGTTATGTATGTACGTACTGTATATGAGTTATATATTATATGGTTTGTTTCTATCAAATCATGAATTATGTGTTATAAGAGAACGACATGTGTTAGCCGCTAAAGCGGCCCACTCAAAGGGAAAATAGAGAAGAAATACAGAAGCGATAATTGCAGACACGAATGAAAAACGGGAGAAGAAATAAGAGAAGAGAAGAAAATAGGCTTTAAATTTTGACATCAAAGGGTCAAATGCTTACATGTAGTCATTTTTTTATGAAATTCTAAAAAAGTATTAGATTTTTTATTAAAAAAAAAAAAAAAACATTACACGTTCACACAAGAACAACTACAAAGAAAAGGATATTTTCCTATAAATATATTTTGAATCAGCAAAGATAGATTACTAACATAATTTAAAAGTTTGTATTTAATATTAAAGCAATGATTATAAGGAATTATTCAAAGAATAATAAATACTCACTCTTTCTCATTTTGTAGTAGGATAATAATAATAATAATAATAATAATAATAATAATAATAATAATAATAATAATAATAATAATAATAATAATAATAATAATAATAAAATATAAATACACATGACATCCTAAACAACCCAAACCTATTGTTAACTTGTTAAAAATATTAATTGCTATTTTTTTATAAGTTTATGGATGAATTTGGAGTTTATTCGAGTTCGATGACTTGATTGCTATTCTCCAAATAGTTCAATGGCCTAGTTTAATGGGTGCTATATTTAGAGTTCTACTACATAGACTGCCAACATTCTACTCCCTCATTTATACTCCCTGAGGTGGCAAACCGGGATTGATTATTTTTATCATGTGGATCCACAGAAAAGTGTCTACATCAAAAACATGTGAGAGGAAATACAAGTTGGAAGTTTAAAATGGGAGTACACAAATCCTACAGATAATTTGCTATGTTCAAGGTGCAGTGTCATCACCATCTTTCTTGATAAAAAAAAATTGTAAATTTGCAAATCTTATCTTAAAAATTACTTGAAGAAAACGCAAAGACTTGTGAGACGTTGGCATATGAGAAGCATAGTACTTTCTAATGAAAATGTAATTTTTTTTTTTTGAGATTCAAAAAAAGTATTAGATTTTTTATAAAAAAAATTAAAAATATTACACGTTCACACAAGAACAACTACAAAGAAAAAGGATATTTTCCTATAAATATATTTTTGAATCAGCAAAGATAGATTACTAACATAATTTAAAAGTTTGTATTTAATATTATAGCAATGATTATAAGGAAATTATTCAAAAGAATAATAAATACTCACTCTTTCTCATTTTGTAGTATAATTGTGTTTGTCATGATTTGTAAGAAAACAAATAAGATATGGTATTCTTTCAGCTAGGTTTGCCAAATATAACTTAAATAGATTTGCCTTATCAAGTCAATTTAAGAAAAAGTTTAAAGGGTATAATGAAAAAAAAAAATAGAAATTAATGGTGTTTAAAACAAAATATAGAATATCTCTCATTTTCTCTTCAAACTGTATTTTCAGAGCTTGGTCTAAGATCTCTAATTAATTAAGCTAAAAAAATTGTTGTCATTTCATCGTAATTGGGGAATGGAGCCTAAGTTTAACGCAAATTATTCCGTGCAACGAACTGTGTGTATCATGTATGGTGCACAAGATTGCAAAATGGTGTCACTTTAATTAAAAATTACGCGTCCAACTTTAAAAAAAAAAAAATTATTTTTGGTTGCCGTTAACGGTGTTATGCCGTGCATAATTTGAATTATATATCCAGAATTAGTGAACTATATATCCAGAATGAATGAACTATATATCCATAATGAATTAACTATATATCCAGAATGAATGAACTATATAGAGTTAATTCCAGCAATGGTCCCCCGAGTATGATGATTTTCCAGATTTGGTCCCCGTCTTTTAATTTGGACAATTTAACCACCCGTCTATTTAATTCTTTCCAATTGAGGTCCTTCCGTCAAATGGGTGTTATGTCAGTGTCAATTTCAGGGGCATTTTGGTACATTTACTTGCTATGCGTATTTGTACTCCTTAATACGCCAAATATACGGGAATAAATACTAATCGAAGCCCTTAGAAGTCCGAAGTCTTCCTCATCGACTCCCTTAGAGCTCCGACTACATCTTCCTCATCGAAGCCCTAGACGTCCGATTTGATCTTCCTAATCGAAGCCCTTGCAGTCGGAATTCATCTTCCTCATCGAAGCCCTAGCAGTCCGAAGTCATCTTTCTCATCGAAGCCCACATCCGAGTTCAACTTCCTTTTCCTTCCAGCGAATTAGCAATGAGATGGCTAGAAGATATAGCAGCGAGAGCTCTTCATCTTCAAGAATGCATGAATACATATATGGTGAGTTGGTATCCATTCCAAATTGTGAGGGTGGGCAACGTCTGAAGCTTCAAACATCTTGGAGAAATGATAATCCCAGCAGAAGATATTGGCAATGTTCTATTGAAAATGTGAGTGCTTTCATTATAGTTAAGGGTTCTTGTTGTAGTTGAAACAAAAAAAAATTCAAAAATTTGAGTGTGAATGTATTGTTTTTCCTTCGAGCAATACTGCCAATATCTTATTTGAAGGCACAATGTCTGTTAAGTAAGGCAAATGAATTCAAATTGATATGTATTTATCGGCTTTTGGTGCAGGGAGGTCAAAGGTGTGGTTTTGTTAGGTGGCATGACCCTCCAATGTGCGCAAGGTCAAGAAGAATTATTCCTGGTTTATTGAGAAGGATCAATCGAGATGAAGAAGAGATTGCACTGCTAAAAATGAGGCTACAAAATAATGTTGGTGTCAAAAGAAGCAACTGTGGACATGGCAAGGGTATTAGGATATGTGTAGTTATAGCAGTATGCATTGTGTTATTTGCAGTTATAGTTGCGAAGGTCGGTAGAGGAAAGAATAACCTTATGTTAGGTAGTAGTTCTGCATATTGAAGAATTGTATTTGTTATTTGACAATTGTAAGTTTAAGCACAATGCAATGAAAATTGAGTTATGGTTTTTTGCCATAAACTGCTTCTGACAATGCATAATGCATACCATATTAGCACACTGCATACTGCAATCTGAAGGCCAAATACCATTTATAACAAAAATATCATATAAATAAGATCATTACAAATGTATTTCAAAAGATAGTAGATAGATCCCATTACATATCTAAAGGTCTGTAGACCCCAAAACACATCATAATTGGCATATAAATCCCATTACAGATCAAAAGGCAATTGTCTAAGCCAACATTAACACATGCCAAATAGTGACCTAACAATTCATAAAAGTCACTAATCCAAAAAAGCAGTAACTAGTAGTTCCCTTAATCCAAAGTGATTGGATCTTTGTCATTCCCATAGAATTTAGACTTGAATGTGGTTGATGATCTTGTACGATGCTTCTTGATTTGTAATTTCTTCCTAGTAGACTTGGTTCCATCAGTTTAACCTTTTCTTTTTCCCGTTACTTGGTGGTTTCCATCAGTCTTCTTGTGTTGTTGATCTGCACATAGTAATATATTAGATGAAATTATAAGTTGTGTTTTGACATTATAATTGCACATGAATGGACTGGTTGTATAACTTACAAGGCACATTTGCTTGCATTGAATCTCCCACAACAGTGACTGGAATGGACAGACTGGAACTTAGTGAAGGTCCTACAATACATAAGAGTCAAATATTTGCATTTAGATGGCACATGGATAAGCAGTATAACATACCTCTAACAATCTCCTCTGCCTCAATTTGGATTTGGTGCCATTGCTCATCCAATATCTCATCTGGAATCTCCCATTGAGTCTCTTGAATTTCAGGTTGAGTAATTACATCAGGTTGGACTTCAGGCTGAGCAGCATCATGGACTTCAGGCTGAGCTGCATCTGCATCATGGACTTCAGGCTGAGCAGCAACTTGTACTCCTTTTGTTGACCTAACACTTGATTTTCTTCTTTTAACCTGCAAATTGATTATGTTATTTAACACAACCAGTTATTGACAAATTTAAAGTCAAATGTGAAAGTATGTAACCTGATTGGCAGGCCTGGCAACTGGGTATTTTGGACACTTTCTTTGGTTATGACCCAATTCTTTGCATTTGGTGCAATGTAAAGTAACAAGGCTCCTAGACAAATACTGCCCACATTTGCTTATCTCTCCAGCAGACTTCATCCTCAACCTTCTAAGCCTTCCAACCCTTGCAGTATACAGTGGTGGCAAAGGAGGTGGTCTACTTGTTGCAGGCCACTCTTCATGACCAGACATTGGTTTTATACACCCATCATATGTTTGGCAGTAAGTGGATATAGAGTAGCAAGGATCCACATAATGCCAAATAGGTCCTTTCCCATTTTTCTTCCATATTGCACACACAGCATGGGGGCAAGGGATTCCAGTTAGGTCCCATCTCCTACAGGAACAAGATCTTCTACCTAGATCAACAGTATACTGCCCAGAATGTGTCCCAACTATCTCAAACAACATGGGAGCACACTGATAGCAAATCATTCCACCTGCAGCTATCTCAATGTCATCAATTTTTTTCACAATACTTGGACAGAGTACTCCAGTCCATTCATCAGCTTCAGTCCTTGACTCAAATAGCCTTAGCATGATCTTTTTCCTAATTATCTCCAAGCAATTAATAACAGGACTTTCCCTTGCTGTCAAGATCATTGCATTGAATGATTCTGAGATGTTATTCACTAGGATGTCACAATTGGCAGCTGTATTGAAATGGGATCTTGACCACTCAGATGGGTGCTTATCACCAAGCCAAACATAAGCATTTTCATCCAATTTTCTTAATTCAAGTAGTGCTGTTGAAAAGTTATTCACAGTAGTGGCTCTTGCTGCTTTCCACAAGGCATCCTTTATAGCATTGGCAGTGAAACCAGCCACCCTCATGTTATTGTGCAAGTGTCTAACACAAAATCTATGCGTAACTCCTTGTAAGGTACTTTCACAAGCTTGTATGAGACCCTTTTGCTTGTTTGACATTAGAGTGTACTGACTTTGTACTAAGGGACCAAGCTTCAAGTCTTTCTTTAGAAACTGTAGAAACCAAGTCCAAGAGTCTTTGTTCTCACCTTCTACAACTGCATAGGCAATTGGGAATAAACTTTCATTTGCATCTATTCCAACTGCTGTCAACAATACTCCTCCAGTTTTACACTTCAAGTGACACCGATCTAGGCCAATGATTTTCCTGCAGTGCTTAAATCCTTCCCTTGTAGCTTCCCAACAGATATACATCCTCAAAAATCTCTCTTTTCCATTTTCTTTAAGGTCACTCAACTTCACTTCACAAGTACAGTTTGGATTTGTTGTTTTTATTTCCAAGACATAGCTCCAAATCTTATTGAAGTAATCTTCTGCTTCATGTTTAATTTCACCTTTTGCTTTCACTAAAGCCCTCCATGCTTGCTTCTTACTCAGAATGTAATGGTCATCAGTTAGGACTTTTTCTAAAAATGAATTAGTTTTCCATTCCATATTTCCTCTAATTTGCTGTTTCCATCTCTTAGCAACAATAGAGGAATTGACCATTGAATTATTCTGAGTCCTTATACAGCCATCATGTTTGTCCTTCAACACTGATACCCTCCAACATTTATCATCTTTATTAAACCTAAGGGTAACCTGCCAAGGACAGCTTTCATGCTTGCACTTCACCACACATCTAACTTTGTCATTTTTTGTGATATTTCATTTCCTTCCCCTCCTTGATTGCATAATTTGTTATAGCTTCTCTAAACTCCCGTTTATCTTTAAAGGTCAGTCCCAATTCAAATTTAGGACAAGTGCGTTCAGATTCTTTCAAAAACTTTTGCCATTTGATCCCTATACCCTCACCATCACTGCCTACCATGTTCCCTTCATCAGAGTAGTTGACAATATCATCTACTGGTGGGGGTTGTATGGGTTGTGGGAGTTGGGGTTCTACATCACCTAAGCCTCCAAATCTGCAGTAACATCTATATTCTTGACAAATTCTTCATCATCATGCACACTTATATCCTCTAACTCATCTGAATTGTATTCCTCATCAGTACAATCCAATTCATCCCCACTGCCACACCACTCAGACCCACTGCCATCATACTCCTCTTCATTTGCACTGCCAACATCTGCATCATCACCAATCACTCCTTTTACCATCCAGATTTCTAAGACCTTAGGACTACAACATTGGTTAAGTAAATTCCACAACTCAAAGTCTTTAACCAATTCTTGCAACCCCATTTCTGTGGCCATGAAGTACCTCAAAGTATCATCCATTACATAACCAATCTCCCCAACCTTCTCCTTTAAACAAATTAACCCCCACTCATCTTCTACCATATCATTAAATACACTAACACTGCCTCCTAAATATTTAGCTGGTAAATCTTGACTTATCATTCCTCCATGTCTTAGTTTAAGAGTAAAAATCCCTGAGATCAATGATTCAAATTTCCAAAGCACTTTAGACAACATATAATGGTCCACTGTAATGCACACAACATGGAAGTACACAATACACTACTTTACAGTAAAGGCTTTAGAAAAAAACAACAACTATGGTCCCCAACATATGCATATATAATCAGACAAACATTGGTCCACACACCATTTTCAACCACAAAAAGGTCCCCACATGTACCTATGGTCCCCACATGTACCTATACTAAGCACAATATACAACACACAACACAGAAAGGAGTGAAAGTATATACTAAACAACACAACACAGACATTCGGACCCCACATGTACCATTTCGTTCTCCTAAACCATAAAGGTAACCAAACTTACCTGCTGGAGCAGAGTTGCAACCAACGCTAGCTTGCTTCCCTCTCGATTCCATCAATGTTCTTCGTTCGTTCTCTCCCAAGCTTCAACGCTAGACTGCGATTATGGTTTAAGATGGGAAAATTTGGGGATTTTCATTACATAGCTTGCTTGCTTACTTCTCAGCTCCTGCGATTAGGGTTGGGCAAATAAATTGGGTATTTTAGACCATCTAAGCGACACATACGCACAGCAAGTATAAGATGGGTATTTTTAAATTTTATTTGGCGTATTAAGGAGTACAAATACGCATAGCAAGTAAATGTACCAAAATGCCCCTGAAATTGACGCTGACATAACACCTATTTGACGGAAGGACCTCAATTGGAAAGAATTAAATAGACGGGTGGTTAAATTGTCCAAATTAAAAGACGGGGACCAAATCTGAAAAATCATCATACTCAACTATATATCCAGAATGAATGAACTATATATCCAGAATGAATGAACTATATATCCAGAATGAATTAACTATATATCCAGAATGAATGAACTATATATTCAGAATCGATAAGGTCAATTATGAATGTGTAATTATTAATTTCTGAATGTATTGTTATCAAATTATGAATATATAATTATGAATATATAGTTATGTAATTCTGGATATATAGTTATGAAGTTATGTATATATCCTACTATTTGAATACGAAAGTAAACCACCTAACGCCGTTAACGGCAATGAACAAATTTTTTTTTTTTAAATGGAACGGCATCGTTTTACAACCATGTGCACCATCGGTTGCACAACATAACGATTGTAAGTTCGAGGTCAATTGAGTTATGAAGTGAAGATCCGAGAATTAATTGGGCTCAGAGGATAATTTGAACTCAAATGCAAGGTATTTAGGGTCTAGAAAGGAAGAGGAGAAAGTTAGAAGTGCGAATTAAGTTAAGGAGTAGAATTAAGAGGGCTAAAATATAATAGAGTTTATTATCGAAATGGTCCCTTCACTATTACAAAATTATCAGTCAATTTGGTTCTCGACAATTTTTTGTGTCTAATTAAGTCATCGACTTTGAAAATGTTAACCAATTTGGTTCTCCGTTTATTTTGTCGTTAGACATCCGTTAATTCGGGACCAAATTGGTAATTTTGCTATAATCAAGGGACCATTTCAGTAATTAACTTTCAGAAAAAAATGGTGTATGTGATGACCGGAATGGTCCCTTGACTATAGAAAAATTACCAATTTGGTCCCGAGTTAATAGATGTCTAACGGCAAATTAAACGAAAAACTAAATTGGTTAATATTTTCAAAGTTGATGACTTAATTGGACACGAAAAATTATCGATGACAAAATTAATAATTTTGCAATAGTCGAGAGACCATTTCGGTAATAGAGAATTCACTTTAATTATTCATCAATTCAATAGAGAAATAGGCGAGTAGTATAACTAATCCCATGTGAAGATTTAATTAATGGAGTACTCTGCTGGACTCTTTCCCCTCCTAATGGTTTAGAAATTAAAAACACTGTTTCCAAATCCTTTTCAACTTGTTCAATTCTCAACTACCAAAAGAACAATTAAATTAGACTTTTTCTTTTTTTCACGATTGTGATTGCTACATACCCTAGTCATAGTTTATGTCTTTCACGAAAAAAACTCCAAAACAACTTGCAATTGCAACATGTTACATTGTCGTAAACAAGACACCCAACACAAATATATGAAAAATCAAAGCCTCAAAAAAAAAGATAAAAGAAACAAAAAAGAAAAAGAAAAGTGGAGTTGATAGTTCAGTATTCTATATGAAGCCAAACATTTTTGTAATGTTTCCGTGTGTGTAGAGCTTTCCACTTGTACGTGATGCCGTGCTTGCTATATATATATATATATATATATGTGTGGTAGGTCATGGCCACAATTGAGGTCTTTTGTCATATTGTTGCAATGCTTCTATATAAGTTAGTTTTTAAAATCATCATATCGCTCCACTATTAATATTGTTTTAATTTTTATCTTCAATTTAAAAATCAATCATAATTGATCATTTAACTATTAATTTTATATCCATTTTAATTTTCTGTTAAGAAAATGATTATCTAAGATCAGAGTTGTTATCTAAATACAAAATTGAAAATTTGAAAAATAACAACTACTACTGTTGTTGCTGTTGGTGCTCAGCAAATTTAATTCTCATGAGAGTCAAATTTTATATAAATCTTGACCATATATCCATTTATAAAACAAAAAGATGAAGATTTAGGTTAAAGAAAAAAAAAACAACAGTGACATTTTGTAAATTAGTTGAGCAATATAACTCTATTGATGTATGACTCTATTGTTATTGGTTACTTGATATATATCGAGTTGAATTCAGGTGCGGCCACGCATTCTCGTGCTATCAGTGTCTGCACCAATATGTATACAAATATACACTATCCATGTTAGGAAATGCACAACAAAAAACATGCACAAATTAGCTACGCATCACCAAAAACGTACCATTAGGTATGAATAAAAGCACCATACAATGTTCAAAAATACACCATTAGGGATGTGGAGTTATATGTTGCATTTTTTTGGGTGTGTTGTGTGTTTTTAGAGTATTTGTGCATTTCATTGTTGTGCTTTTTCCTAACATTATTGGTGCATTTTGTTAACACTGTTGGTGTATTTTATCAAGCGACCGCACGGGAGGGCGCGACCGCATTTGAACAAAAGTTTAGGGTGCGTTTACTAACAGGAAATTTATGAAAATTTTTGAAAATTTGGAATAAGGAAACAAGAAACATGTTTACTAATGCTATTTTCCATTTTCAAAATAGAGAACTCTTCTCTAAAATAGAGAAAATTTGAAACACAACTAAAACTTGTTTTCTATTTAGAAAACACGGATGAACAGTAAAAATGCACAGTACAAGGCATCGATTCCCATCACAAGCAATTTTCTTTCCCTTGTCTTCTTCTTTCTTCTTCATCTTGTGTAGTAGTCCTGCGCATCTTCAGCCTCATGCCATCTACTATACCCTTGCCTCACCGGAGTCATTGTCGTACCTTGCCTCATCGGATTCATCGCCGTCCCTTGCCTCACCGCGCTCACGCGAAAGCTTTCAGCCGCCGGTCTTGCACTCCGAGTTCCATCCGTTGGTCGCCAGTCCAGGCTCCAGCCGCACCCGCCGGTCACGCCACTCCGAGCTCCGTCGTTTGGATTTTTACCTCGCTCTTTTTCTTCAATTTTTGCAGATCTCAACCCAGCAAGTTCCATCGTTTTCTTTATTTTTTTTTGTTTTTTTTTTTCTCGCCTTCTCTCTCTTTTTTCCTAATTATATTTGATTTTATATTAATTAACTTAATTATATTAAATCTGTAGTTGATTATATATTAATTAACTTAATTATATTAAATTTGTAGTTGATTATATTTGATTTTATACTAATTAACTTAATTATATTAAATTTGTATTTGATTTTATACTAATTAATTTAATTATATTAAATTTGTAGTTGATTATATTTGATTTTATAATCATTGATGGTGTACTCAATTTTATTTACACTCTTGACAAATTATAATCATTGATGGTGTACTCAATTTTATTTACAATGTTTTTTAATCACATTTCGTCACGAAACAACTTATTTTAAATTATTGCAATTAATATGTTTTGTAATGGCATTTTAAACAGAGAATATAAAATAGAGAATTGAAAATAGAGAATTTTCGAAAACAGAGAATAGAAAACATAAAACAGTTTTCTATTAGTAAACGGGCCCTTAATTTCTCTCTCTCTGATCTCTTTATATATATATATATATATATATATATATATATATATATATATATATATCAACACACTTCTTTTTTTGAGTGGTAGTTATGTTACAATATGTATAAGGGAGAGCAAATAAAAATTAGGGCATAAAATATTAAATATATACTAATATTGAAGAGCTAACTGCTGATTACCAAACAAGTACATTGTGAGGTAGTTTCACACTTCAATTTGTTGTGTGCAAATCACAAGTTTGTCTATGAAGAGCGGATCAATAAATCCCCCAAGTAGTTAATATGATTAGCTTAATTATATTTTTTATTTTTTAAAATTATTATTATTATTATTATTATTATTATTATTATTATTATTATTATTATTATTATGTATACCCGGCCCTTAGGTCATTTTACATGTTAATCTAAACAGCTAATTTTTTCAAATATCTTTTTACTGACCGTTGATATAATTCGCTGGTCAAATCCGCTAACGCTAACCGCTAACTGCTGATTGTCAAACAAAGACATTGCGAGGTAGTTTTCACTTCAACTTGTTGTGTGATTTGAATACTCTCTTTGTCAACAAATCTCTCAAGTAGTTAATATGATTGGTTTTATTAATTATAATTTTTTTTAAATTTTTTCATGGTATTAATAATATAAAATACTTGGTAAATAAATATATAACATTATTTTGTATTATAACTTTGATATTTAATTAAAAAATAGTGCACAAAAAAGATAATAGACAATGTAGTAAATATAATCAATTGATGAATTTGAATGTAAATATTATGGTGTAGGAAGCTTTAGATTTGCATTGTTGTGTATATGATGGGATCTTGTTGTACTATTAACTCTTTATCTTACAAGAACCTATTGATATTTGGTAGTGGTAGTTTTTCCCCTGGATGTTTCATGCATTGTGAGATGTGTGTCATAGGTTATCATGTGAAAGTATTGAACAAAATATTAATATTTATTATATTTGTATAAAATACTTGGTAAATAAATAAATATATATAATATATTTTGTATTATAACATTGATATTTAATTACAAGATAATGTAAAAAGAAGACAATGGACAATATAGTAAATATAATAAATTAATAAATTTAAAGGTAATGAATCTTTGAATTGTAGAAAATAAAGATAATATAACTAATGAAATTATCCCTTCAAAAATAACTAATGAAATTATATCTCTTTTTAAATTTTTTATAATGAATAATTTTTTCTCAGTGGAGGCGTTATTGGTTCTTTGTGTTTCAGTAGGTTGAGAAAGTATATGAACAGATACTACAATGTAATAGAGCCAGTAGCTTTCAAAAAAAAAAGTTTTTTAAATAAAGGCATTAGACATCTAATTCTAAATTAATTTAATGCATATGTATTATTTTTTGTTGTAATCACTAATTTATTTAATTTAATAAGACTAATAAATTGACGTACATACTGTTCATCAACAATAATGAAATCATTGATTTTTTTTTTTTATTTACATTCTTTGGAAAATGGTCCTACCATTTTAGAGTCTAGGTGTAATTGTATTTATGACCAACAACTTTGTAGTTAGGTCGCGCAGATCTAACAATGATGTAAGAACAATTTTGTCTGGTAAAAAAAAATAATATAATACTTGTAAAGTAATGTACAATTGTTCCATTATAAAAATACATACAAAAAATATTAATACCATAACGACCTAAATTATACTAATAATGCAAAAATATAATTGAACTATTAAATTTTGTTTTGATCTAAATAATCAAAAGAAGATTAATTAAACGAAAAAAAAAAACTTAACCTAAATTATTTTTTTTAATGCATAAAAATCAAATGATTTTTAAAGTTCTTGATTTATAATCTTTGATGTTTAACTTTGAATGTTATTTATTTAGTCGGACTAATTATTTGACCAAAGTTTATGTTAAATTATATATATATATATATATATATATATATATATATATATATATATAAAATACATTTTAACATATCCGTAGTATATGGTTAACAATTATTCCAACTCTAACTGGGATGGGGTTCGAACCTAAGACCTTTCTAATAAAAATTAATGAGTAAGTTAAAAATAATAAATAATTAACGAAATATTCCATTACTAAAGTTTATACTAACGGGAATTTAGG